TATGGTGCAGGAAATAGATGTATACCTCCAAATTTTATTGTTTATTTTGTTATTTTTCTTTACATGAGAGGCAATGCCTGTTAGCCAGGGTAATTACATTCTATGAGGGTTGCATGTATTTCCTCTTGTTGGGGGCCTAACACTGCAGTGGGTTTAACGGCACTGTTGCTTGCTACACAATGTATACTTGGTTTTGGTCCGCATGACCTCTTGCTCATTGTTTCATGACTTTGGTCACTTCTGTACTGTCTGTTTATAAAACTCAATAAAAATTGTGAATTTGAAGAAAAAAAAACACGTTTGCTTAACTAATGAATGTAATATGATTTTATATTAGCACACAAAGCTGTATGCTGATGTGATCTTAAGTGAAAAGGGGTAAAGGTCCACTTTAAGAAAATAAACCTAGGACACATGAGAAGGAACTTAAAAGCTTCTGAAAGCTACAGGTTTTTTTTTAATCATATTGTTGCTGTACTGGGGGGATGCCAAAAGCAGAATTGTAAAGTTATGAATTGATCTGCTTGATCCCGAAGAGTATGAACAAATTTTCCTGTAGTTGCAGTTTTTCTGTGTGGTCATAATACATTGTCTTGCAGCATGCCTGGAGTGTAATCTTAACAGGTCTTTTATCAAGAAGGCTCAGCTGTTTTTTTTTTTTTTAATATTTTGTTTTTTTAATTTAAATGGTCACACAGACGCACAAAAAATTCAAAATAATTTTCTTTCACTCCGTAAGTCTCTGAAACCAAAAAACCTGAATATTTAAATCCATAAATAATCTGCCTTAGACCAACTCCATTGTTTCACTGGCTTATTTAATGAGCATGTATCAAGTACTCATGCAAATGTAAAATAATAAAGGCGCTCATAACCCAGAATGATTTTCACAAGGACTGAGACATTGAAAGAAACTGTGAATGTATGGGGCGAAAATATTCCTGATCCCCACTCAGCGTCAACTTCACATCATAAAGCACAGAAATGCAACTTAGGTGATATCTGTTCACAATATATAACGCCAACTAATTCTTTTGAATGAAAAATCCACAATATAACCTGTTTTTATAAATATATAAATGTATATAAAACTTGTGGAAGAAAAAACAAACAAACATTCTATGGAGAGTGACTATGTAGTATATTCACTCACAGAGCACCTTTCCTACAAGAAAATACTTTGACAACTGCCTGTAATATCAGGGAGTGCAGAGAGTTAAAGTACCAAAATCCCCTACAGGTCAACAACATACATTGTACAGATTTTAGTAAACTTCATTGCAGCTGCTTTACCTACTTTTCTATAGACAGAGAGGTGGGGAGGCTCTAGATGTCATCAACACAGGACCAGCAGGCCGGGATGTGACCGCTTGTCCTGCATTGCACGCAATGAAGCAAGGATGGGGGTCAGCAACCAGGTCTATCGGAGAATGGCAGGAAGAGAAGCTTGGGGGAATGGCCATCACAACCAGATCTGGTGGGGAGGAAGACTGTGGGACCCTAAATTAAAATAAGTAATACTCTGTTGTATTAAAAACACAAGTATTAGATCCAGACTACGACATTTTTTATTTTACTACTGTTCAGAATTAGGCTATAAACCTTATAATCTTAAAAAAAGGGCAGCCTATAACAGTAGAATAATACTGCACTTATGCATTTTTCCTCCTGATGAAGTTTTTCATACGAATCAGTTTAATCATTTTTAACTTGTGCTTCATACCTTTTGCATTGAAAGTCAATGCGCGTCATGACAGGCATCATGTTGCTGTGACATGCATCATTACGTGTTGATGCAAGTTATGACATGCATTGATTTGTGCCTTAAAGGGTTAATAAACCCTCAGCGTTTTTGTTTATATCTACTGCTAGCAAGCAGTAGATATATGCAAAAACTTAAAAACAAAAAAAAAACCCTTTCAGACAGGTTTAAAGTTACCTGTGTCTTTGCTGCGCGCTCCTGTCCAGCCATCTGAAAAGTCTCGTGCGGTCGCAAAGGATCTTGGGGCGGGCGCTTGCGCACTTCAGATGTTTGGCCGGGAGGCGAGGAGAGACACAAGGTAAGTCTATGGAGCAGCGTGCACCCGCACACACTCCGTGATACATGAGGGAAGAGGAGGGCAGAGGAATCAGCGCTGGATTGGAGACCAGCACCAGCACTGGAGGGACAGCTGAAAGCTACACTAAAGAAGATGATCGGGTTAAGAGGCATGATTTAAGGTAAGTCCTTACACTAACATTGGGTAGGGGAGGGGGGATTAGCCTTTAATGTCACTTTAACACTTGCATCTTAATGCATTTTCCATTACAATTAAATAAAAAATGCATCAAAATTAAATGTATAGGTGCGAATCAATCCTCACCAGTCCCACCAACAGTGACTCTAGTCTACACCCCCTTGCAGAGCTACAGTATCTGTAGCATCTAACAATTCCTGTTATGTAGGATGACAGCATTTCCCACTGTTCGCTGTAGTTCCACCCGCCATCTAATATGTCACTACTGTGCAGATTCTACCACTAATGTGTCCCTGCAGATGCTAGAAAGAACATTGGAGTCACTGGCAGTAGGACTGGTATTATTATCTTACTTTTACAGGCTGCTTTTTATTTTATTTTTTACAGAGTCACTTTAACATCTGTGCAGACATTTGGTCAAAGCAGTAAGCCAATTACTAAAGCAGAAGCATGATAAATAAAGTGAATGCTCAAGAACAAAGTGAGTACTATTGGCTTGTTTGTATGGAAGTTAAAAGGTGAATTTTCTGGGAGTTCCAGTAACCTAGGGCTAGCTACAGAGTAGAATAGAATAATAATTTAATAACCATTAATGACAATGTGGTTTCAGTAGAATAGTAGATATAACGTCAATGTTTAACAAAACTGAAATTTTACCTTTAAGGTAAACCTGCCACCCATTTTTAAAAGTCCCAAGAGCGAACATCAACAGATGTTCACTACTGCCCTTGTTGGGACTTGTAGATGGCCTTTTGAGAGACTGTTGAAGCTCCCTTTGCATAGGGTGGCACTCAACCTGGCATGCCGAGCAGGATGCAAAGCTTCTGCACAAGACATTCCTATATAGATCCCTTGGTCTGTGATTGGGCTGTAAGACAGCTAAGTGCACATGAAAACAGAAGGATCACTTATTTGATGAACCCTATAAGCAACAGGGGAGGTGCCCCCAAATGAGCTACCTGTGTCTATAGACGTTACTCCAATTAGACAAAATTGGCATTTGGTGGAGTTTGGCTGCAAAGTCCAGCCCCTAGTAACCAAATTAAACACATTTTAGAGGGGCATACAGAGAGGGCCATTTCTGCTCTTAGGCATGACTTTTTTTTATATTCTTATGACTGACAATTTCATTAAAGGACTACACTTGACATTTATATATGCCAGTTCTGGTTGTATCCCAGTAGGTTAAAGCACTTAATATTTATTTAAAACTGATCACAAGTACTAAGGCGAGATCTCACCGCTGCCCTCATTTAGCCCTCAAAAAGGTAGTCAGATCCCCACACTAAATTCTGCAATAAGTCCTAGCAGCAAAATATTTCCCAGTCGTTTTCAGCAGCTTTTTGCCTATTTATAAAGCTGAGAGGTGGCATTACATCACTATTCTTCAGCACTTTTTGGCTCTCAACATGTTTGCCTATTTTTTTTTTGTCTGCTTCAAAGATTGTGTACATGTGTGTTCAAGTCAGAAGCAAGTCAAATGCAGCATATTTGCAGGTAAAAATTGTTTCCATTGGTGACCATTCTGAGTTGCTTCTGACCTGATTTTGTGTACATTCACATGTGAGAAAATAGTGTGAAGGAGAAAAAGCAGATGTTTACCCAAATTTATACTGCTCCATATGAGGTTAGTCAAAGCTCCAAACCACCTTAGTGTGGATTCTAAGGGCCCATTCACACCTCAGCCAGATCAGTTCCAGACCAGACCAGATTGTTTGCGGATTCAAAATGCATCCTAATGTATCCCTATGCTATTTCTGGCCTCTGTTCACACCAGCCCAGTCCATTCTAGACCAGACCAGACAAATACTGCATGTCTTATTTTGTCTGGTCTGGAATGCACTGGAACTGCAGCAGGTTCACACCATTTTCCGGACCAGATCTGGTCCAGAAAATGGTGTGAACCTGCCCTAAAAGTGAAGAGTTTTCCATGGAGTAGGGTCCAGCTAGAAATGATAATTGTGCCAAAGCAGGACCATAAAATATTTACCGTTTATCTGGAGTTGCTTCTGCAATATAGCGGTGCACTTCCCAGTATGTAAAAGTGCCTAGGCACTCATATGCCTACATCCTCATAGCTGTATATCTGCAGTGTAACATCTAAGGCACTGCTGCCGCTGACTGCTAATATCAGGCAACTTGGTGAGGTCACTGCTGTACTGCTCAATGTTCTCCTTGCTGGAGACTCCGAAATGCAAAGCAATACCTCTACCAAGATGGCTGTCTCTACACACACTACACACGAGACACAGTGCAGAACAAGACATGGTTATTCAGTAATGAAGAAAGATCAGCTTCAGGTAGAATACAGGCAATACTGGTGACTTGTCCGTTGTTCTATGTCTGCCTTTTATAGGGCACATCGTTCGGAGTTCAGTTCCTCTTTAAAAACTCAAGACAGAAGCAAACAAAAACAACGTCCTTTTAAACAAGTCCTAATTGTGTGCGATCCATCCACCATTCTTCAACAGAATCTGGAGAAAGCTAATGTAATTGTTTTCCTGTCTCTGACAGCTTTTCAGGCTTTTTTTCCTGCCATTCACCACTACCATGGCCATTGTTTTACAAGGTGAAAATGCAATTTTGTGGAAAATAGGGTGAAACAAACCCTAAAAAATGATGGCACCCCTTAGAAGGCTTGGTGAGTTATAAGCAGCTGCCATGTGCTTCAACCTAACAATTTTCACCCACAATGAAAGCATTAGCTTTAGGAGGAGAGGCTTACTGAAACTGCGTAGGCTTACCCAAAGGGTGATTTCTGTAACAGTGAAGAAGTTTTACATTCACAACAGTACAACGGAAGATCTTCCTATAAATAGGTGGAGGTACGGTTGGCACAGCAGTACACAGATGATTGTCAAGTCACATTCCGATGGAAGCTGTATTGAATCTACAGACATGAAATTATTGTGTTCTGTTCTTCTTAATGATCTACTTCCAGCTGTGTGTCCACGTACTGGAAATGGGCGCCATCACACAGCACAAACTGAGGGTTCTTCCTCCTCCACACAGTGAACGAATCAACATGACCTGGCCAGTTGGGCAGCCGTATCCTCTGCACACAGCAGAAATCCTCAGCCAATGCAAGCTGGAAGTCGCGCGACGTGGACTGCCCCCAGGGATTGGAAGACAATGTTTCACCGAGCAGTTCACCAACGTGGAACACCGTGTGTCCCCTGAAGTAAGTCAGACAGTCCAGAGAAAAATGGGAAGATTCTGGAAGAGAGGAGACACTGTGAGCTAAAACTCCATACACATAGACAAAGATTAAGATCAAGTGATGTGTATTGACTGTGCAATGCTTGTAAGTGATTAGAGAGAGAGAGAGAAAATGAATAACTATACAAAGCAAAATAGTTCTTAAAATATTAAACATTGATATGATTATTTACATCAAGCGGAGCTTTTACTACGCATTTATAAAAAAGCCCTGAAAACAGGCATCATAAGACGGCACTCTGCAGTTGTTCCTCATGCCTGCCAAGCATTCCCCAGATGCCAGGGCTGAATGGTATATCAGCGCACAAGCAGAGTTTCCGGAGATGAATGGTGCCTGCAGCATCTGCATAGCATTAGTACTGTGATTCGGGTGAGTGCCAAGGAGGAATGCAAAATGGGAAATTTGCTGAGCCTGTGTCTGTGGATTAAAGATTAAAAATGCAGTGTTTTTTGCAAATGTGATAAGGCATGCATTGAGTACTCTATTCCTTTGGCTGGAAATAACACTTACAACCATAAATCTCTGCTGTTGCTACTGTTGCATTCAGCTTTAGATCAATGTGTATTGTTCAAACTCAAATCCTGAATTCTGTAAAGGAATGAATAGAGAATAATGGGGGGTGGGCATGTCCCTGCAGCATTTGGGTGGGGGTATTTGATGACTATCTTATCAAACTACATTGCAAGACAAAGGCAGATTAAAATACACACTGCTGGACTGATGGATGCCTCCAAGGCTGGATTGCTGGGTCCTCATCTTTCTGGTCATTGCAATTATGTTGGTGGAGTAATGTGCTATGTACTTACAGTTCCCTAACTCTAGGTCCCAAACCTAGAACCGAACTGCTAGCAGAGTAAGGTGACAGTTTACCCCACTGTGTGTACTGACCCAAAGTGGGCAAACTTTCTCTTTCAGCCTCTTGTTCCCCAGCCTCAGCATGCCTTTGTGGCTACGACATCTAACCCTAAACAAACCTGTCAGTTGGGGTATGAGGTACGTGACACAAACCAGTTAGCCTAAGGGGACAAGAATAAGTCCAGCTTTGGATGTCTTCTTATAGAAAGTCCAACAGGAACTGTATTTAGGAAGCAGCATTTTTTTGTCACAGTGTTATAGTTGCTATACTGGTGCTAAAGAGTGTTCTGCACATGTACACATTTTAGTCAAAGCCTAAGTTTCCCTTTCATATATTGCATGCCATTTCCTGTTGTCATTAAAATAGATTTTATTTGTATTATGATTTGAAGTACAGGCTGGAAAATCCCAATATGATCATGACACGTGTAAATACTGCCCTCTACTGATCATATTTACAGCACTTCTACCCAGGGACAGCTGGATTCTTGTTGCTCCTTAAATGAAAGCATCTATATCCCATGTTTATAGTCCATGCAAACTCTAAGCCCAGCAATATGTATGATGAATGATATACATTATATATAGTACACCAGGGCTCAAAATTTCAAGTCCTAAGTTACTAGCCAGGCCTTAATAGTTACTCGCCACAAGTTGTCCCACTAACCCCTACCCTGCCCCGGTACTCAGCGGTGTGACGCAGAGTACAGAGATCAGTAACAACGCCGAGTACAGAGACCGGCGGCGCGATGCACAGTACAGAGACCGGCGGCGCGATGCACAGTACAGAGACCGGCGGCGCGATGCACAGTACAGAGACCGGCGGCGCGATGCACAGTACAGAGACCTGCGGTGTGATTCACAGTGCAGAGACCCAGTGGCGTAACCAGAGTAACCGGCGCCCGGGGCAGGACAAACTTTTGCGCCCCCCCTGTGATATGTGGGGGTGTCTAGGTACAATGAGAGCATGCTGGGACATGTTGTAATTGAACTACAAGTTCCAGCATGCCCTCATTGTCCATGTACGCCCGCCAAATATGACCCAGGGAATAGTAACGAGCCGATTAGCAGGCTCCTGTCCTCCTTCTATGCAGTGGAGCCCGGGTCCCTGAAGGGAAGGAGCCTGCCAATCAACTGGTTATCATGGCAAGTGGACCGTTACATTTGTTTACTTTTTAATCACCTTTTTATTTAAATGTAATAATGTTTTATTATTTTTTATTCATTTTTTAAAATTGTATTGATTTAACAATTTTTTTTCACTTAACTCTATGGCTATCACACAGGAGCTAACAATCCCCCGTGTGATAGCATTTGGAGGTGACAGATATACAGAGGCCGGCGGCACAGTACCAGCCTAAATTTGAGCACTGTGGGTGGTTTTCTGCAGAACTGCCGTGCGTAGTTTGCTCTACTGCGAACAGTTGTTTGCAGTTTGAGCAATTAATTACAGCATTTTGTGCACAATGACGGGCACATTTTGGAAGTCAGGATCATTGCCTTTCCTGCTTAGTTGCATACTGTTTTTAGAATAAAAAATAAGGACAGTTTCAAGAGGTGACTTACCATCTGCATCCGGCCAAGCAAGTAACAAGGCTCTGTCTGGGTAGCTCTCTAGAAGTTCAGGACCTCCAGTCTAGACATAATAAGTTGTATGTTCAGTAGCTGAATCTGGGTCCTGTAACCAGTGTGACAATAAAAATAATAATACCAACACACAACGCATGCAACAGAAAGGCATCTAATGAGTCCTTCCAGCTTGTATTAATTATTACATACTGCCAATAACAATGGGCGTTCATTCATGTCCGATAGGGGAGCAGAGGAGGATGTTACCCATATCCACCAAATGGCAAAGGTTGTGTGTTTAGTATAGTTTTGAAAATGAAAGTAGTCTGTATCATAAAAGATGAACATTGTTAATCAACATTTGATCAAATAAAAGAACAGAATATTAAATAACAAATATGAGAGATGCAGTTGGTTATCGGATGTGGTTGATCAATGCTGGGCACTATATGGGAGCAGTGGGGATTGGAGGGGACACAGAGCTGATAAAACACCGGCTCCCAGTGAGGAGGAGAGAACTGAGGGATCCACACCAACTAATCAATAATGAGAATGATTGACAGCTATTCTCATTATTGATTAGTTGGTTGCAGCCCTACTTATGTCCCATGCTTATCAGCTCCATCCAGTGGCCAAAACACAGTATTACATTACATATACTCGACCTGAAACAAAAATATTTATTACATACATTAGACTTAAATAGAAAATATATCTAACAATTTATTTTTTTCCGCATAGAACAAACGTTTAGAAAGACTCCTAGGCCTTTAAAGCAAACCCACCAGTGACTTTAGAAGTCTGTATTAATACATTTCTGTCATTTCAGGGTGTATAGTAAAAGTGTAATTTAAAAAAACAAATCTGAACATGTTCTCACTGAAATAGTCCTTGAACTTGTAACTAGTGACTGGGCTGAGAGGTGCAGTCTGGGAGAATGATGTCATCAATCTGCTGCAGGTAGGAGGAAGATTTTTCTTAGTCTTCCCTCTCTCTGATCTGTGTGAAACAACATGTGTACACAAAGCCAAGAACCTTAGCTACTGCACAGGCACCAGGCTTTACAAAATTGTGGATTATCTATGGGCCAACATCGGAAAGGTGGTTGTCTAACCTCAAAATGGAACTGCGCTTCTGAGAAAAGCAGACTGTCAAGGGGAGTACTGTACTTTCGCTGGCAGGTAATAAATACCTGCAATACACATTACTTATATATAGCAATATAGCCAGCACTAGGACACATTTAGGAAATAGAACTTTCCTCTATGCATCCATTATTCAATAAGGTTAGTGACAGCTTTATTAAAAACTACTTCTCATAAATTTTATAAAAATCATTTAAATGAAGCATAGTAATCCATGAATCTGTTGTTGGATTTCAGGGAGGGAATATGTAAAATGCTTTGGTGGATGTCAGTCTGGAGGAGTGCGCTTTCCTAAACATGTTGTATTTGCATACAGATTGCCTTAGATATCACCCTTGACGATTCAACTCCATATGTGTTCATTCAAACTGCCGCACTTAAAAAAAAAAGTATGGCATGCAGTACAACCACATCGCACCAAGGTGTGCCCATAGAACATAATGAAATGTCACCTGTGACATTTCAATAAAGTTCTAACAAAAAAAAACATAAAAGAAATGGTGCGATGCAGCTCGATAGACTGAATTGGCACTGTCCGGGCACACGCACACCAGCAGCTGTGTGGTTAAGTGGCTGCAGGTGTGAAAAAGCCCTAAAAGAAGTGAAATCTACTGAATGAAATGGGGTGGGCCAGGGACAGTCAGGCTGGGGGGGAAAGTGCCAGATGATGCTGGATATCCTCCAGCCAGGAAATGAGGTGGGTTCTATGTGACATTCTTCTAATGTACACTATGAGAAGCTCACAGCTAGCAGTGAAATCAAAGTAAGCAATTTCAGGATAGGACAGGAGCCGGTATATCTGTGCAAGGCTGAAGGTAAGGCTGGAGTTCAGCTTTTACTTGAGCAGTAGATCCCTTCTTGCAGTGCCTTGATGACAATTAACCATCACCCCCAAAAATGTTCAATAGTTATCTAATCCTATCCTACCAAAATCACAGGCAACAAACAAGAATTATCTACTGTATATGGCTACTTCCAGATGAATGTAGAACAGAGGGCCAGAGCAATTGGAACATTGAAGTATCCAATGCTTGTATTCTTCAGCTTTAGCTATAGGCTCGTATGATCAATTAAGTGGACAACCTGATTAAGACGCAGCATGGAATGGAATATCTTATATTTACACAGATTTACAAAAAAAATCACACAAAATATCAGCAACAGTGTACATCACTTGATGGATATAAATGAACGGAATACATTCAGAGACACCGTAAATAAGACAGGAACTAAGGTGTGCGTGTTACACTGAAGAGTCCTATTGGAAAGGTTTAGGCTGGATTCACACATTTGCCGAGCATTAATGTGCATTATGTCGCATGTTAACATTGCGTTTACTTGAATGTGATACCTAACACACCAAAACGCACCATAGAAGGTGTGTGCACTGTTTTTTGTAACACAACTCAGGGTAGTGCATTACTGTGTACTGTGCATGAATGAGACAGTAGCGCACCAACGTAACGCACAACAGTGTGAACTGGGCCATACAGACACATGGAAGACACAGTGTAATGGTGTAAGCTGTACATGCTCATTCCCCAATCCTTTTATAGCAGTCATCTTACCAATATCTCTGTGTAGCGCATCTCAGGTGGAAAAATGCAATTTTGGTCAAAAGCAACCACATCAAGTCCACGATTCTGCAGTAAAAATTCCCAGTAACCAGTGCCCTGGACATAGAAAAGACACATTTACAACAGAGAAGCAAAATACGCAGAGCACTATAACATTCATAGCATGTCAAGAATCTAGAACTATGGCCACCTTCTGCTTCTTCTTCACCTTCTTCTTTCTGCTGAAATGTTTTCCTGGGATAATGAGGAATTTGCAACACAACATGCGTCTCTGCAGCAGGAGATTTGTGGGGGGGGGTTAGTCCTTGCTCCAAACCTGGGTCTAAATGCAAATTATATTCTCATTTAGGACTAGCATAATGACTCCATTGATAAAAGTAATGGAGTGCAAAAAGTCTCTTAGACAGTTTGTGTTGCCTCTCAGCAATAGATGGTCCCTTTGAGTCATGGGAAAATGAAGAAAGTCTGCCCATACAGTGTAAATGGTGCTTCGATGTACCCTGTTTCCCCGAAAAGAAGACCTACCCCGAAATTAAGACCTAGTACCATTTCGGGAATTGCTAAAATATAAGACCTACCCCGAAAATAAGACCTAGTTGTGACCATTCCCTGGGCCGGTGGTGGTATAAGGGGGAACTTGAAGAGCCGCGGGAGAGAATCAGTGGTGCCAACGAGGCCAGCGCTAGAGGAAGCGAGGCGGCAGCGCAGGGAGCAGAGCCGCATAAGCCAATGTTTCCTCTATAGCGCTGGCTCCTGTCACAGGCGGAGTGATACCAAATGCACTCTGCCTGTGAGGAGCCTGGTTACCAAATTGCTCTTGGAAAGGTATGGCACCCCTGATTGCCCTGATCACCCTATTCTTGACTTTGCCATTTTGGATTATTTAATTTGGATTTGCATTAAGTTTGGATTATGCATTAAAAAAAAAATGACCTACCCCGAAAATAAGACCTAGTATGTTTTTTTGAGTATAAAAATAATAATAAGACAGTGTGTTATTTTCGGGGAAACACGGTATGGGTCTGATATGACCACCTTCAAGGCAAGGGAGGGTGCCCACTGCTAGAGTAGCTTTATGTGTAAGCTCACACTTCAGGCACGGTGTCTGTGCATTTATCACACAGCACACTAGGTGCACTGGTGCATTGCCTTCCAATTCATCCTGAATCACACCTCACTTCCTGGCAGGTATAGCAATAACGTGTTGCTGTGCAGTGAAAAAAAAGAAATTACAGTTGCACTATTTTTTTTACACCACATGGGAGGTGTGTTTGGGTGCTATTCAGGAAGAATGGCAACGCAACAGTGCGCCTGACTGCAGCACTGTGCAACAGCACGCCACGTACACAGACACTGTGTCTCTAGAGCAATACTATGGTGTGCACTGACCCTTATTCCTAGAGTTCAGCTTGAAGCATCACAGCTCTCATGTTATTATAACTGGCCCCTTTTTGCTCGCCCCCCGCCCCTCCCCCCAGGGCTCCCCCCCCCCCAGATGTATGCCATGGCTTACTCTACCCAGAGAGTTCCTGTATAAAAGACCTTTCATCAAAGTAGAAATGAAATCCTGCAGCAGAACAGTGCTTTTACATTTTTACAGCCGTATCCAACCCTTGGTCTCTTGTCTGTGGCTGTCCAGCCTGCTGACCTGTGCTCTGTTGTGGCTGGCTGACATTTGATGCAGCAAGCCATAGCCCAGCGCAGGTAGGCGATCGGTCTGTGTGCAGCATCCTAGAAACCAATAATGGCAAGGCTCCACCTTTGCAGTCATTGGTTGCTAGGACCGCTGGGTGATCCTAGCAACCAATGACATCAGGGGTCCTCCTCTGCAGTCATTGGTTGCTAGGACCGCTGGGTGATACTAGCAACCAATGACATCAGTGGTTCTCCTCAGCAGTCATTGGTTATTAGGACTGCTGGGTGGTCCTAACAACCAGTGACACGTCAGCATCATGGGTGTCCTCCTCCAACCTCTCCTCTAGCTCCCGCCTGTGGCGTGTTAAAAAAATAAAAATAACATATTGGGGGGGGGGGGGTGGAGTTGGGCATGTGTATTACAAATTGTGGCTGCTGCCCCCGGCCCCCTTTACAGCAGTCCAGTGGCTGGCTCATGCTCCGTGAAGTCGGCTGATTCAGCCAGCCACTCGTACATACTGTTTACTGAAGTTATGTGGGGACAATAATGTTTCATTCAGGGACACCTATGCAGTGCCGTGCAATGAACGCATGCTACCATACAATGCACCTCCCATGTGTTACAGTGCAGCAGGTGTGCTGTATGCACTACTTTTTTTCAACCGCAACGTTGCGCTGTAAGGCATGTTAATCATATGAGATACTAGGACTGTTGTGGAGGGCCGAATCAATAGAGGAGGACCTCCACAGCAGTCCCAGTTTCTCATGTGGTCCCTCGAAAACAATGAGTTGACCCTATCCGTGCAATCTGTACCCACTCGGGCAGGCCCTTGCACTACAATCAGATCGCACAGTGTATGGGCAGCTGGCCCCAAGTTCCGGGTGTACTCACAGCTCCTGCAGACACCAGGGGGAAGTGCAGTGTACACAGCAGGTCCAGCACCTGTGGACTGGGCACAGAGAAGGAGAAGAGGATCTGCAGGTGCTGACAGCTCGATTCCTCCTCCAGGCTCCGCAGTAGGTGGAGAAGTTCTTTCCTGCGGGGGGCAGGCAGCAGGGGGTCGCAGAACCTGTGCACATCTGGAGGCAGCTGCATCAGCTTCCACCGGAACAGCTCGTAATACAGATTCTGCCCCTTGTGCTTCCTCTGCTCCAGAGTGTCCCAGCGCAGCGCGAAGGCCATGGAGGCAGCCATCCCAGTACTGGCCCCGTCCGATCAGCCCGGGAAGGGAGGGAGGGTGGGGGGCAAATTCAAAGCAGCGCCTCTCCACGGAGAGCTAGAGGAAGTGAGAGCCGAGGAAGTGACTTGGAGGAGCCGGCAAAGTCAATGCTCTGCTACCACCTGCTGGACGTTGTTGGTACTACACTCAGTAAACACCCCATCCTCTGCTGTGGGTACAGTGATAATGGTGGGTGGAAGTGTTGGCACACAAATGCCATGTTCCTGCTTCTACTGAACTTTTAAAGCAACCTGTCTTTTAAACATAACAAATTTACCTGCAAAATAAGAGAGTAAATCTATTCTTCTGTTCTCCATGGTCTATGTGTGTGTTGTAAAGTAGCCACCACTCCAAGCTTTCTCCCATGGAGGACTACACTCTCAATACAAATTAGTAAATTAAACATGAGATTGTAGTCCATCGTGAGAGCGAGCTTGGAGCGGTGACTACTTTATAACACACACAGGGACCATGGGGAACAAGAGTAGCCACCCTCCAGAAGGAAGGGCAGTGTCAGCATCAATTCAGAGATGATTTGAGGATCTACAGCCGAATGATATACAAATAAGATACATTTTTGTTAAAAGTTAAAGTGCTTGAATGTAATTTTAGGATTTAACTCCTGGGTTTGGTGTCACTTCAATGTCCATACCAATCAGAAAGGTGGCAAATGTATAAACCTATTGTGTAAAGACAACATTGACATTATAATCAGAACTGCAGGATATTTTTTACGGGATGGGAATAATGACAGATTTGTATTTCCCTTATCCCTTTCCCATTACGGGTTTATTACTGAAATTATTCACCGTTGCTGCTTTTAGTAAACAGTAACCTACAAATCATGTCTTCTCATATCCAGGTAAATAGAAATAGTTCAGTTCTACTGTATTAGTTGTCAATAAAATATGGTAAATAAAAGGATAATAGTGGAAAGAAGATGTATTTGTTAGTTCTATTTCAGTAACTTTATGAAGCACATTATTGCTTCACAACTGGTCCCTGACAACTGGCAGTCAGATCACAGTTAATCTATGGTCACCCAAATGAGCACAGATATACATTATATACAGTGGCGGACCTATGGAGCAAAGGGCCCTGGTGCAAGATTTTTTTCGGGCCCCCTGCAGCCCCCCCAAAAAACAAACAAACCCCCCAATCCAGACCCCCTGAAGCAGCCACAAAAAAAATTAAGTTGGAAAAATAGAAAAAAAATAGCATTGTTGTATAAAGTACTGCTGAGATTTGCAGTCCTCTATAGAGGGTCCCATTATGCATTTCTGCAATGCAGAATGGCACCTGCTATAGAGCACTATAAATACCAACTGTACTTTATACAGCATGTCCATCAGTTGGGCTACAAATAATAATCATTTTATTTAATTACTTACCATCACCTCTTCTGGCTGTTTTCTGGTGGGAGAGGCTGCAGAAAAACACCCCAGTGTGTGTGTGTGTCAGAGTCTCAGACAGCGCGCCGGCCCATGTGTTCAGGCGGACACCACCAGGGATGTTCGTTTCCCGGGGACGGTCCCTGTTTTGAGAGATCTGTCCACGGGAAACAAAGATCAGGGAGCAATGGTAACTTTCTTACCTGCATGTAAGTGAATTTTGTGTCTTTGATACCTGCATAGAGTTCAGTTAGACGTATTTTAGTCAGTAGCCTGGAAAGGTTTTCTTTTTTGTTCTTTCTTTCGACTTTTTCTCTATTTCTTTTGTTTTGAATGCTACTGCATATTAGAGTATACCTTGTACAGGAAGGATCTTGTCTCTTGGGCTAGGTTCAGATATCAGCGATCCTGGGTCGCATTGATTTCAATGGTGTTATGCCCGTGCGGCAATCGCTGAAAAAAGGTACCTCTTTTTGCAACACGCACCGCACAATTCTTTGACCTGCAATCGTGCGCGATTGCACGGACGTTATCTCAGCTGAAAAACCACGCAATCTGCCTGGCGCGATTGGAGTGACATAGGAAAATAATGGCATCGCCAGCGCGATCGGTAATGGTGTGCGATTCTGTGACCGCGCGGCCACCCGCATGGTTTCATGCACGATTGCTGTGCGGTCACGGATCGCCCTAGTGTGAACCTGGCCTTGTCTTGTTGGCTGCTGTTATTACTACATTTTGCTAAAATGTATGTACTGTCTTTGAAACATTTTATCTATCACTTACAGCACCACAAGGATGACATACATTCTCAATAATACAGTATGTATGACATTCTCTTTTACATTGTTTTATTCTGCTTGCTCTCTCCAACTGCTATTTCAAGTTTTCCACTGAAACATCCTTTTGTTAAATAGATATGTCTTGGTTTTGTGAAACCATAAATCCACCATACGTTCAACATTTTTTAAAGCTGTTTCAGGGTTTACATTTAGTACATAATGTAACATGCATTGTTTCTCTTCCACTTTTTTCCTTGTGTTGCACAATAGTAGCTTATAAATATATAAATGAGCAATGATGTTAACCACTTCATGTCTGCTCTTGTAATAAAAGTCATGAAGAAATACTCTGAAGCCATACGCTGTAATATTTTCTCCGTTCAACTTGCAGGCTAAACAAAGAAAATATTACAGATTCCTCCACCAATGCTTAATAGCGTTGATTGAGGAATATCCTGATTGAGCCAATGAGCTGTCGCCTCTGTTCGTTTAAAGATTTTCCGATCCACTCCTTCGATCAGATGATCGATGGATACCGGACGAATGGGTGCCGACACTTACTGCGCGAATTTCGGGTGGTTCATCAAAGAACCGTCCGAAATTCGTATAATGTATGGCCAGTTTAAAGTGGCATTCAAGTCACATTTATTTTTTGCCCATTCTGTTTTTGCTTGTAATACTTACCTTATGTGATACCTCTTGATCCCATCATCTTCTTTCTTCCACTTGTTTTCCGCAGTCCCTCCAACGCTGGTGCCGGTCTCTGATCCAGCGCAGACTGCTGTCTCTTCCGGTCCCATGCTGTCTGTCCGACGTGCACGCTCCCGGCTGCGTGCATGAGGGGGATTCTGATGTGAAAGGGGGGCTATGATGTGAAAGTGGGACTTTTATGTTTTTGCATGGGCTCTCTCAACAGTCCCTTAAAATCTATATCAGACCCCTATCTGTTATGGATCTGGGGGGGCACACGCTTTTTACACTTTTAAATTTACATTTGTAGACTGGGGTGCATCGAGATTTTGCACACTTTTAAAGGGCACCATGACTGAAAAAAGGCTGAGAAACACTAGAAACACTGTTCTAAGGCAGGGGTGCCTATTATGTAGATCGTGATCTACCAGTAGCTCACAAAGCTGATGCTGGTAGATCACGAAGGGTGTGAATGGCGGCCCCTTTATTCCATTTTGGTATATTTATTTAGCTGTGCACACATGATTACCTATTAGCCTGAGTCTGCTGAGCCAAGCTCCCTGACACCTTTCTGGTGGATACTGGTGGTTGAAGTGCGATGTATTACAATCAAAGAATATTAGTTTACACAGCCTGTTGCACTACACTGTTTGCAAAATACAGCAAGGTGAGCCAGGAGAGAGAGAGTGAGGAAAGACAGCCAGGAGGATGAGCAAGGAGAGACAGCCAGGAGAATGAGCAAGGAGAGACAGCCAGGAGAATGAGCAAGGAGAGACAGCTAGTAGAGCGAGCAAGGAGAGACAGCTAGTAGAGCGAGCAAGGAGAGACAGCCCGGAGAGCGAGCAAGGAGAGACAGCAAGGAGAGACAGCCAGGAGAGCGAGCAAGGAGAGACAGCCAGGAGAGAGAGAGCAAGGGAGGCTTCGTTTGCGTTGGTAGATCTCATGTAGCTCGTCATTTGAAAAGTAGATCTTAACACAAAAAATTGTGGGTGCCCCTGCTCTAAGGCATCCTTCACACGGCCGTTCATGGCTGTACATCGTCCAGATCAGAATATTTCTATTGCATGTAGGACTAGGTGTTTCCAATTAGCTGCAACGTTCAGTGTGTACAAATCAATGACAGGCTGAGAGGTTCTGCAGCTGTTCACATCTTTCCACACATGGAGTGGTTACCTGCGGTTAGGGACATATGAATGTCTCTGCATGCAAACAGTCTGTGTACAAGGCTGCTCATCTGTCCCTATCTGTATGTAAACACTCCTTAAGGCCTGGTTCACACCTAGGCGTATTGCATATGCGCGTCTGTCGCGCGTTTTTTACCGCGATTCGCGGTAAAAAATCGCACGACACACGCGCGTTTCCGAGGGCTACTTGGCTGTATCCCAATGGAAACGCGCAACAAAAACTGCCCAAAGTAGTACATGTACCTTTTCAGGCGTGGGCCGTTTTGTAGCGCGTTAGGGACGGGCGGAAATACGCCAAGGTGGGAACCAGACCATTGAATACAATGGGATTTATATTTTTGAGCGTTTTGTAGAGCGTTCGTCGAGCGTAGAACGCGCTACAAAACGTTCAGGTGTGAACGAGGGCTAAGTGATTACATGCAAACCGCCAGGGACTGTGTCAGCCTGTCATTGATATGAACAGGGACTTATTTACCTCAGGCAATGACAGCAGCCTTCTGCGTTGTCAACATCCTGAATGGTAAAGGTAGGGTGTCATGCTGTCTACGCTTGTGCACTAATGTCCTATAAATAAGAAAAGATTAGAATTGGACACTGCATCACATTCAAGGCTATGTGACGTTAGTGCGCCGGTGCAGGCACTAGATTTTTACCAGCTGAGATGTAAACTACATAGATAACCCAAGTAGATCCCATTGAATTCCTGACCGGGTGTAACCCAAGATAATGAGTGCTGAGATGACAGCAGATGCCTCTGCAGATAAGTATCACGTGGTAGAAAGTCACTCGCACTCTAATAAGAATGTTGGTCAATGTTCTTTATTGACAAAAGAATTGTCACATCATATAGAGATGTTTCGGAACATCTAGGTCCCTTCTTCAGTCAAAAAAAAAAGAAGGGACCTATACGGTTCCGAAACGTCGCTATACGATGTGACAATTCTTTTCTCAATAAAAAAC